CCGGCGCTCGTCGGCAGCTCCTCGGCATTCTTCCGCCACTGGCCGGCAAGCTTCAGGTGCTCCACGGCCTTTGTCCGCCACTCATCGGGTGCCGTCCACCGCTTGTCCGCCCGCGTCATCCGCGCCTAGGCAATTTCCGCCTCTCGTCAAGGGAGCCCGCAGGACGTGGCCGTTGCGCCCACCCTATCGTCGCTGCTGCAGCGGAACAGCGTCAACGTGCTGCCGACCGCGCTAGTGCGCATTGACACCGGGACTGATAGCGTTCGGCTGGAAGTCGTTTTCAAAATCGAGCCACACGTGCGCGTTCGTACGCCGTGTCGAGAGCTGAGCGAGGTGGTGCGTGCCCTCTTCCGAGGCGTGACATTGGCGGATGAGCTGTTCTATATGCCAGCGACGATCTCCGTAGTCCTGGGCGCGGTATGTACCCGCGTATCATGCAGCCGGGCTTCCTGAAGATCCAGGACGGGCTGCCGGTGGCCCAGAGCACCGTTTTTTGGATGGGTCGTGTCCGGAGCCTGTCACCAACCGTAGCGACGAGGGAGCTGTTGCAACCCGAGTGATTACAAGGGGGCGGGACACAATCTTGCACTCTTCATCTTCTCTACAACAAATTGGTATCTTTTTGTGGCAACATCGCCCCCCTACACACGAAGCAATTAAAAATTATTCAGCGCCCATAAACTCAGTGAGGCGCTTAGGTTCGTACCATTCTGTAATTACTATAGAAGATTCATAAAAAATTTTGCAGGATATTCTAGACATATATCAAAACTTTGCAAGAAAAATGCCCACTTCGAATGGAATAAGGATTGTAATGATGCACTTAATTATTTAATAGAGGCCTTAATGAATCCAAAACTCTTACAACACCCAGATTTCAACAAAGAATTCTGTATAACAACAGATGCTAGCAAAAACGCTTGCGGAGTTCTAAGACTGATTTTTATTCTCGCTCTGAGTACATATGATAGTACATATGCTGTGTTTGCGAAATAGCGTAGGTCAGCGTTTTCGGCCGGGTGACCGTGGCACAGTTGTTTACAAGACTCAGCTTTAGGATACCGTTGCCTCCGGGTTAAACGGCACCGCCGTTAGTGGGACATTGTCCGAGGGCGTTTGTGTGGAGGTGATGTCATCTGCATGACATCAGCGGTAACTCGCGCACTTACCAATTGCATATGCGTCTCGATCATTCACAAAAGGAGACCACTGAACAAGAATTAACAGAAGCAAGAGCTTCCGGAGCCCAGGGTCTACGACGTTGTCAATAACAATGACATCAGGAAACATGTGAATCTTAAATTCGTCAAACAAAAGGGTTTGTTTAAACAAGGAAAACGAATAATTTCACAATCCATAATTGATGATTTGTACTCTAATGGTACAATTTATTCGAAACAATTTTTCCAAAGGCTTGAGATACAGGCCGAAATGCAAAACATAAAACAATTCGAACTGGCACCCAGCGCACTGACTTTAAAGTCAGTATTACTGCGAGAATTTAAAGAAATGGGGAACCGTACATTAAAAAAAAGTACAAATAACGCTACTTTCTGAGGTGACCATATAAGACAGAAATCTGAAATAAAATTGACACGGTATTAATTGATACTATTGGCCTTTACCGCGTTCAGAGGAGGGAAACGAATACGCAGTCACAATTATTTGTGATTTAACTAAATACTTAGTAACAGTACCAATTCCGAATAAAAGCGCAAATGCCGTTGCGAAAGCAATCTTTGAAAACTTTATACTCGTTTACGGCCCAATGAAGGTTATTCTAACAAACACGGCCACAGAGTATAAAAACAGTATAATAGGACCCTTATGCAAATATATGAAAATTGACAAAATCTTATCAACTGCACACCATCATCAAACCTTAGGGACTATTGAACGCAGTCATCGAACGTTTAACGAATATGTCCGTTCATATATTTTAAATGACAAAAGTGATTGGGACATAGGGTTGGGACATATGGCTGAACACTACACCATCAGTCACGACTAATTATTGTTAGTACGAATTAGTGTTTGGAAGACCGGCTCGAAAATGTATGAATATTTCTAAAATAAATCAAATAAATCCTATATATATCATAGATGATTATGCTAAGGAAATTAATTTTAGGTTAGAATCAGCTTACAAACGGGCAAGAACCATGCTAGACCATACAATGTTTTCCTGTATCCTTTAATTAATTATTGATTTCTTTTAACTTTATATTATTTTAAAATAACAAAAAAAAAACAAATATTTTAAATTAAAAATAAGATCCCACACAAAAACAATGAAACACCCAACATATATGCATCATCATATCATTCCATACTATTTCATGAAATTGTATTTTTTTTTATTTTATATTCATCCTTTTACAACTATTGTAGAATGACTTCATTTTAACAAGGGGCTGTAGCTAGCGGAGTATATAATTTTAATTATATTTTAATTACATAAATACATACATTGTATATGCCCATACAAACTAACACATTCCTCCTCAAGTGTCCGGCCAGCGAGCCGGCCCTAAAATGCTGACCATGCATTCCCACGGAAACGACTGGCCCTGACACCAACTAACACTTATAGCCAGTCGTCTCGTGGTATATATAAACATAAGGCAAATATGCCAATGCATACATGTATAAACTCCTTTCGCTGCTCACTTCAGCTTTTAGCTTTTAAGAAGAGATGTTTGCGAATAAAAGGGCGGTCTGGAATACCACTCACAATAGCAACGTATTATTATTTGTCACAATATTACACCATGCTTCTTTATAAATAGCGAAATTATGCTCTGATTTTATATTTATATTATCTATCGATTTCCCAAAGATTTATCAAATAAGAACATTATTTCGCTATTTATGAAAAATGTATGTTATAAGGCCTAACATGGGCAGAATGGCACTATCAGTTACTCAACATGCTTTCTCTGACAATAGGTAAATTTATCCTCTTTAGACTTTCACACTCACTATTAATAGATATTTTATGTATATCAATATTTTTAAAATCTTTTGGAGACAACCGTTCAAACTCTTTGTATGGAATAAGTTGCGACATTGCCCGACCATTTAAATTGACTGCATCCAAATACATTTAAATTATGATTCCTTTGTTGAATCACAATTTGTCAAGTACTTTTTATTTGCTTTTGTATATCTATGGCAACATTGTACTAAGTCTCCTCGAATGCTGTTTTGAATAAATCTTAAGTATAGATATCTGCTAATAACTCTAGTTGAGTATTTGTGACCTTTAGCATAGCTGCCCAAGATAGACATATGGTAGTAAAAAACTGAGGGTCTAATGAATAAATTTGTAAACATATTTTACTACAATTTTCAAATATATAAGTCAAAAGGAAATCATTAGTTTTTAAAAATACTTCCAGATAATCCTTAGACTCTTTGAGAAAAAATTGTGATCGTACATTATTCGCGTGTTCATAATCATATTGAGACCATTTTTTCCCGTCAAGTTATTGTAAAATGATGCTTTAGATGGTAGGGAAGTTTCCTCAGGTCGACTAGGTGAATCTAAATATTCATAAGGAAAGATACCCAATTAAGTTAGAAGCAAAAATATCTAAACCTAATGGAATAAATCTGAATGTGTCAAGAAACCGAATTTCAAAATTGTTTCCATTTGAACTTTTTATAGTTTTGGACATCGAAATATATTGTTCTTTATTTACTGGAATTGCAGTAATACCATCGGGAATTTTAGCCAAGTCTTCAATAAATAAATGATAATCATATTTAGACAAATTATGGAAAACACTGGTATGAATTCAGATGGTCTATTCTTTTTTTTATGTTTCATAATTTCAGATGATAAGCGGAGGTTTTTCAGTTCTGTTCTACCCGCTACTTCTGTTCTCGCTATCGACGCCGTTATTCAAGTGCATCGGGAAGTTCGCGTAGTTGCATACATACTAATTCAAAATGTCGGAAGCAAATCAAAAAGAGCTTATGCAACGTGCCCCAGATAACGAATACTTTTCTCGGGCACAGTCAAGCTACGTGGCGCGTCAACTTGCGGTATTAAATACAAAATTCGATGAAGGTGAATTGCAGGTGCGGTTAAAGTTAGTCGGGAGGATGAATTGCCCTCAACTTAACCTCGAACGGCTAGTGATCGCGGAGATGGAATCCGGCGCGCGATTAAGATTTACCACTGCGTATTGTGAAACAAGTAGGAGGTAGAATCTGCCGCTTCCTAAACGGCGAGAAAGGAAAGTATGGTAGCGCTAGGTGGTACACCTAGCAAACAGGTGAGAAATGTAGCTAGTAGAAATCATCACACCATACTTATTGCTCCGTTGCGTTACAACGAAGTAAAAATGAATCACATTTGTTTAAAGTGCCTACGGAAGGGACACAGCTTACGGCAATGCAAATTTGGCAGCTGTAAAAACTGCCACCAGAAGCATTATGACAACCACATCGGAGGCTTGGTCACCGATTTCGACATCCATCAACATTTCCAAAGATTCAACCGAATCAATAAATTCCACGAATATTACACTCATGGTGATATTCTCGATTTGTTGCTCCTGACGAACTGATGATGATTAATTTGACTGCTCTTATTTTTATACTGAAAGGGCATACAGTTTTGTTATACCTCTTTTTATTGCTAGTGGCGTGAACTGACGTAATATAGTCTGAATATGTGTTAAGTGAGCAGAACGCAAATTCGGACATGCTTTTAACAGCATCCAAAGGCTCGCTACAACGAAGAATATATATGTATTTGTATGGGACATCAATCGTTTGTCATAATTTTTTAATACTTCAATGGTCTGTTCTACTTGTGCGTTTTCTTAATTCTACTGCACAAACAAACTTTATTGTTAATTAATTAGATTGTTAATTTATAAATGGCACATTTAAGCTTGGTATATAACAACAGCATAAAAAAGAAATAAAAAATTAAATATTAGTTTTATTCTAAAAATTGGAATGAAAATATTTAATGTACATTTTTATTTCAATTTCGGAAAACTTTATTTAATAAAAATATGTGTATATTAACAAAAGCATTATTTAAATTTAAGGTTGTTGGTTGCATTTCCTGGTAGTCCCGATACCAATTTTTTAGCAAATTCGCACAATTTTAAAGGATCATCATTATTAAAATCATTTATAACAGATTGCATTTGCCCCTTTAGACCATCAGATATTGATGTTGTTATCCGGTCCTTGAACAAACTCGTGATTGGGCCTAAAATAGTACCAGTCAGTTCTTTAATTACACGAGGTTGATCCAATTGCACTTCAATATTGCTAGAAAAGAAAAATAAATATATGGAGTGTTAGTACTTAAGGAAAATCAACATCGTAGGAAAATATACCTAGAAACTTAATTCCTTTATGATAAAAAAGATTGTTCACAGCATATGAATAATTACTAACATTAAAACCTAGAATTGTTTATAAATATCGTTTCTTTTTTTGATAAGAAAGAACAATTTAAATAGAATTTACGCAAAAAAATCAAATAACAAATCTCAAAGTCAATTTAATGAATTTTAAAAACTTATCTTAATATATATAATATAATAATATATTATACCAAATAGATTATAACAGAAACTTAATTGATACATTTTTTCAGATGTTTTGAACTTTGTTTTTATACTTTTAATTAGTCAAAATGAATTAAATGGAGTACTGCTTTTGCATTCCGCTCCCGATAATGGACGATAATGGACAAAGCCACTCAACACAACTACATTTTCTGAAGAACTTGGAACCATGTAAGATAACCACCTAGCGATGAAGTGCATGCAGCAAATGCGGAGGTAACCATACCGCCAACTACACTTCTCCTGATCAATAATTTATATATTTTTAGGGTCGGTTTCTTAGAAAATGTACTGGGCCCCTTGATATATTCGCAATGACAACATCCACAATTATCTGGACATAAAACCCGTAAAGAAAAAAAAAATCGAGGGCAAAAAAATGAACTACAAACACAAATGAACAGAGACAGATTGACAAGCTTAGCGGCCATACCCGAGTACAGCGAAACCTTGGACATTGATACAATTAAAATACCATTTTTGAGTTAGGATTTGAATACTTATTGTTAGTCTCTAAAGAAAATAGAGAAGATCCAATAAATAAATTAAATGTTAAATACCCAAAAAACAAGAAAAACAAGAGGAAACGCTATTGTCGAGTGCCGCGACTATAAGATACCCGTTACTGTTTTACAAAATTTTAAAATATTTTTTTGCTAGTGGAAATTCACGAGGCGCCACCTATTGTCAGAGGAAGTATGTTGAGTCTGCTTATAGTGACGTCACTGCCCATGTGAGACCTTATAACCTAAATTTCTTCATAAATACCGAAATAATGTTCCGATTTGAAAAATCTTCGGTAAATCGATACATATTAACAGAAATAAGTGATACAAGGTCAAACGAAGGCATTCATAATAATATTATAGACGCCACAGTTTTCCGCTGTTTGTGGGCGTTAGAGTGGGCGTGGCCGGATGCAACTTCGTGGGAAGTTGCAGAGGCATCTCTTAAATACGTGTTCCTAAGCAAAATTTTTTAGCTCTTATAGTTTTGGAGATTTTTGCATTTTTGGTTTTTCGCGTTTTGTGGGCGTTAAAGTGGGCGTTGCTTGATTAGAATAAAAATGTTTGCATTGGGAACATCATTAAAACCTACTTGCTTAATCCGAACTTTCTATCTCTTACAGTTACCGAGATATCAGCTCTTCCAGAAAATCAGAAAACCGTCTTTTGAGCCTTGTGGGCGTATGGGTGGGTGTGGCCGGATAGTAGTACCACTATAAGATGCGCTGGCATCTAAAGATTATACTTTCTGAATATTATCATTGTAACTCCAATAGTTCCTGAGATTTCAGAAATTTTAGTGTTTTGCGATTTGTGGGCGTTAGAGTGGGCGTGGCAGGATGCTGTAATAAATTTGCACTGTCCCGGGACCTCAAGAATCTTCATGCTTAATCTCAATTTAGTATCTGCTATAGTTCCTGAGATCTCAGCGTTCATACGGACGGACGGAAGAACGGACGGACGTACGGACGGACGGACAGACGGACACTGCTCAATCGACTTCGCTATTGATCCTGATCAAGAATATATATACTTTGTAGGGTCGCACACGCTTCCTTCTATCTGTTACATACTTTTCAACGAATCTAGTATACCCTTTTACTCTACGAGTAACGGGTATAAACATTATAGAGACGGTACTAAAAGATATACCTTACTGTTTTATATAATTATAAAATATTCATTTTGCTCCGTTAAAATCCCCAAAGCGGCACTTTTTGTCAGAAAAAGAATGTTAAGTAACTGATGGTGACGTCACTGTCCACGTGAGACCTTTTAAAATAAGTTTCTTCATAAATAGCAAAATAATGTTCCGATTTGAATAATCTTTGGTAAATCGATAAATATAAAATAAAATACGTAATCCAAACTCAAACGAAGGCATACATTTTAACGCGTTAAAGTGGGCGTGTCTAAATGAAAATACAGCTTTTTTAAATGTTCGGCTGGTCAGTTCGCAATGCCAATGTCATACGACTTGTCCACCTCACTTGAAATCCATATCGTGAAAAGCGCTCGCATGCACTTTCATTTGAAGATATCAAGAACGCAAGAATTCTTTGCTTGAGACATTCCCAAATATGCTTTCAAGAGGACTATCACCCACTTCTCTCCAAAAAAAAAGGAATCAATTGCAGCAGAGTCATAACTCAGCCACTGCCGTGTCACTGCACTCGCATCCGTCGATCGGTTCCATTGCCGCTTGCTGCTCGCTGTTAGCACATACCAGAGAACCTTAAGGGTGTCTTTTTTCGGCACCCGAATCACACTTATACATTTCAAGCGTTTGTCGCACTCATGAACAGTAAGAAAAGAGCACACACCCGAGTGCACAGATCGCTTTGTGTGTTCTGAGTGTTTGCGTTTTTGTCACCCACTCAATTCTATGCACATGATGCTAATGCACAGACACCCAAAACACTCATAACAAATGAAGGGAGTGCTTGAGACACCTATGTTTTTGGGATGAGTGAGCCGGGTGTCTTCAAATGATTCGAGTGAGTCGGGTGTCTTCAAATGATTCGAGTGTTTCAGGTGTCTTCAACTTATCTGAGTGATTCGGGTGTCTTCAACTGATCTGAGTGTTTCGGGTGTCTTCAGCTGTATTGAATGAGCAGGTCATTGAGGGTTGACCGAATAATTTTACATGAAAGGAAGGAAGGAAATCACAATAATGGTCCCTTAAAACAGTGTCATCTAGCTGAATATCATACTTTTGTAATGAAACACACTTAGGAATAATATGATTATAGTAAAGATATACGACTTGTTGTCGTAATATTGAATTCCAACATAAGAAGGTTGTAAAAAATATACCTGGTCTTAGTAAAGACCGCCAGGACTCAGAGTCAAACTCAATTTTGTTGGCATACTGATTAATTACAAAAACATACTGGGTATCCGATTTCCTAAATCAAAAATTACTTTTCATAGACGATATGCATGGGATATCTAAAATTGTGTCATTGTACTGGTCCAGTTTCAACTGAATATATTCCTTTTAGGTGAGGAGTTGCATCTATTCGTCTTTATCAAATCCAACGAAATTACTTTTACTTTGCTGCATCCAAATCATGGGGAAAAATTTTTAGAAGTGGATAAACCACATTTCAACTTGAAATTATATACAACATAGTATACGAATCCGAAAATGGCCTCATGGTCCTGTTTCTTTCGTGAAGTTGTATTTCTTTTCGTTACACACATTTCTATAAGGTTAGAAACTTTATTCTATATGTCCGGTATATAATGGAAAAGGTCTTCACGTGTATACCCTCAGTCCAGTTTAAAATTTCAAGCCATCATGAACACTGTAGATCGTAATTCAAGCGTTATTGTTGATTTTCAAAATTTTTTTTCGAAACAACAAACAAATTTTTATTAAGGAGCTTGCATTTGATACCAAATTTCTTTCATTTCAAACCGCCATTCAACATAAAAGAATTGGATACGGAAACTCTTAAGCAGGAACACTTAAACCAGGAAAATATAAATGGATTGGAATGGTCCGCTGGACATATACCATATACAGCCCTAGGAGAAATTTTCTCACCACTCAATAAGTATAGTGTAATATGCACATATGCCATACATATCGAGTGTACACTGTGATTACCACTTGTATCGAGTGTACACTGTGCTTGGCACTTATGTGGCGGCAACACTTTGTGCAGCCACAACAAATTACAGTGAACAAAACAAACTTAAATGAGCGCGTAATATGATCGGCACACCAGTGCCCTATGCATAAGTGGATAATACTCTCTCACACTCTAAAGTATTGTGAATTCGGCTAAGTCAGCATATGCACGCTGACCGCCAGTGCCCTATGCATAAGTGCATAATACTCTCTCTCACTCTAAAGTATTTACGTAAGACAAGCATGCATGTCCATTGTCACCTAAGCATAAGCATATACATATTAGAAATATATAATACAGCCGCGCCGCTGCCGGCTCAACCGGCAGCGGAGTGTGCGCTGAACTTATGTACTTAGGGTAAGATAACATTTTGACTTAAAATAAAAGAACATTATAAAACCTACACTCAAACTGCACTGACATGCAAGTCTTGAAGTATTCCATTATTGATGCCTACAAGATAACTTGGGAACACCTTCAACTTACAACATAACATGGAAACACCTTCAAGCTACAACAATAGTTCAATTAGTGTTCGTGGTGAAATTGAAAAAAAAAATTTAATCAAAGTATTTGTCAGCGACCATAATCGATTTAGATATCGGAAGAAGCTTAACCCGGCTACCCAATTTTTTCACCAATTGTAAAATACATAAGACAAAACTTCCTCTACGGTGTTCCCTAAATAATTTGTTTAAGCTATTTGTAATCTTGGAAAACTCAAATTATGAAGTATATTGCAATACTATAACATATGTTTTAGCTTCAGTAATAAATAAATAGTTGAACATAAAAGTTGTCTTATACAATGGAGTCCTTCAAGAGTTTGTTTGATTGTGATCCGCGCAAAAGAGGATACACACAACTGATTGTAATTATTGTGGATCTGATACTCATTTTGAGAAGAACTGCGCTAAAAAACGCTAACAGGAAAAACATAAATAAATCTGATGTAATTTAAGGCTAACATATAAATAAAAAATCTGTTTCAAATAAAATAAAATATAATATAAAAATGGATAAAATGTTTACGCAGCTTATGCATCCTTTTA